CTGGAAAAGAAACCCCCAAGAAGGCAGCTCCTGACATTTCATGTAAAGGACACTTGACTCCAGCTGTCTCCAGTGGAGCAGCCATGAGATGCAGCTGTGTCACACTGACTGCCCCTCACTGAGCACATCAGCCCCTGAGAGTGTCACCCGTGCTGCTGTGACATCCCCAGTGCTGTGAGATGAGTGTGTCAGCCCTGCCCTGGCTTCCCTCTGCACTGAGGCAGTTTACTGTACTGGCTCTGGGTGCTGAATTTAAGGTCTGCTGCCTTGATCTCTGGGGAGAAGTGAAGAACACTGTCCCTTCTCTGAATCACCACAGAGTGAAAATTCATTTGCTAGTATCAACAGATCATCTGAGCCACAGATAAAAACTCCTTGCTCACATAACATATTGCAGCAGAGTTCTGCCAGGCATCAATTTATTTGTTTGGATTTTCCAGTAAGGATCTACTGCACAGAACACCACCTATTCTTTCCACAGGGAATTTAATTAGCACTGCATACCCAATCATTGTATCAATGTAATTTAAGGTCTTCCATTTGCACAAACTTGGCACTGCCTAAAGTATACAAAGTGTAAACACAATTAAAGCACATGCATTTTTCTCTCACTTTCAAATATGGGTCACTCTGTCTTTAGTCATGTGTTTCTTCTATTCAGTTTGTTCCCTTCCCTGGTATAGATTAGTTAGTCCTTGTGACTTAGTTTTGTTATCCACAAAGTTGTTTATTTAACCCCATAAAAAACTATGAAATAATATAATACTAAGAAAATTTATGCCCCAAAAGTAAGGTACTGAAGAAGTCATACACACCTATGAAAAGACCCCAAAAGTAAGGTACTGAAGAAGTCATACACACCTATGAAAAGACACTCAGCTATTACAGAGCAGCTATACAAATACGGAGATCTGACCTTCCATGCTGAAAAAATAAATACTAATATGCCCCTAAGCAATATATGGCCATGCAGCCTGCTAAGTGAATTCAAATATTCAATATACATGGGGTAGCTGCAGCCTCTGAGTAATCATTACCTTGAGAAACAGAGTGTGCTTATTCAAATACAGCCTCAGAAAGAAACAGCCCTTCCCTTCCTCGCCCTGAAAAGACAAGGTGTGTGTCTGTCAGGAGCAGAGCAAAACTAATGTGCACCATGTCATCCTGACCTGAGACACAATTACAAGGTGCAATACAGAAGAAAAATGAAAGAGAGAGAAAGTCCCTGCAACTTCAAAGAGCACATTTGTGTGTGTGAAATACAAAAACACTCATGTGCTGAAAGATGTATAAGGATTCCATTAAGCAATTCTTTAATATCCAGGGTGACAGAGAATGCTTTCCTGGTTATGTGAAAGAAAGAAAGGACAGGAGGGAGCACAGAGTAGCTGCAAAAGCCATTATTGGTCATAATCCAGAGTAAGATCTGAGCAGCCTGACTATCCTGAGCTATGCTGGGGGATTCCCGTGAGTGCTCTTCCTCCAGAGAACAGCTCTGGGTCCTATTTCCTACGGGAAGGGAACCAGGAGTTGTCTGTGGAGCTGCAACAAAACTTACATCACTCTCTGAGCATCTCCAGCTTGTCTTTCAACAAGGTTTGGGAGAAATCTGAAGGGAGGAGAGAAGCTGGCAACATGGAGCAGCAGGAGAATGATGACTGGGCAAGGAAAAGGCATTTTGAATAGGAAGTTGATTAACATGAAATGACACATGAAGTGAGTTGGGCAAAACTAATTCCAAACACACAGCATTGGAAATGGAGCTGATTATTCCTAATCCAGAAAGATAGTGTTGTGTAAATGTCACTTTTCCATGCTGCATTCACAGGAATAACTGGGAGACTGGGGAGGAAATAAAGAAAAAGTCAAAGATACTAAAAATCATGGTATAAATATGTGAAACTAAGGTCCTGGTCCTACTCTTTTCACCTGTCTGGACAGCAGCATGGTGTGAGTGGCTGCATCTCCAGAGCTCCTACCAGCCACATCCTTATATTTCTCCTATTGGCTTCATGTACATGATGGCATTACCTACCCCAGAAAACTGGGAAATCCTTCGGAGAACAAAGCACATGAGTACCTCTTGTGCCTCATTAATACTGCTAAACACAATAGGAAGCAACCTGAAACAAGTGTCATTACTTAGTGCAAACAGGATCAGCTGTTAATAACGTATTAGCAGCACAATTAGCAAATTGGATATTCTTGCTCATTATCCATCGTTCAATTTGCAAACAACATTTTGAACAGATTAGAAAACAACCTTATCAGTAGAAGTCCCACATGAGATGTAATATTTTCAATTAAGAGCTTACCAAGTTTCCCCATAATGCACTGAGATTAATTTTTGGACTTCCTAGTAGCTCTGAAAACCTGGCATCCATAGAGACAGCATTTCATAGAGGGAAAATTAAAAAACAAAACAAAACAAAACAATTTATCTTTTCCCCAAATAAAGCCCAATTCCTAAGAGCCTTCCAACACCCACTGTGCTGGCAGTGCTTTGTTGCCAGCTTTGCTGAGGTTTTTTTTCCCACAGTGAGAAAAGCAAGGCTGAGGAGGACACACTCCCCAGTTCAGCAGCACTCGGGTGCACTCGGGTGGTCTGGGCTTACCCAGTCCTGCTCAGAGAGCAGCCGTGGGGATCTCCTTGCATTGTTCAAGACTCTTACCCCTATTAAAAGTTTTCTCTTTGTAGTCACATTCTGCAAAGCCCACACAGTAAAACATCCACCATGCAAAAATGTGCTTTATCCATTCTAAACCAAATTTTAACCCCAAATTTCAACTACAAATTCCAGTTTATATCTCTCATGGTGGAGAGCTCAATGAACAATGATTCCAAACTTAATCCACCACCTTCATGATATTGCAGCATATTATTCCTATTGGGAAAGTCTTTCCTTAAGCATCAGGTACTCATCCAATATAGACTTTAAAAGATAAAAACCAGAACAGTTTTCACTCATATTGGTTGCACTTCATAAATTGCTTTATAAACAGCAGTTAAAGTGGGTTGGGGTCTTATCCTTGGGACAAAGTGCATGTCAGTGCTGTGAGTACAACAAACTAAAGCCTAACTTAAATATTTTTTTGCCATAATAAAATTTATCATATATAGTTACTTACTGAGAGATTACAGTAGAATAAACTGTTACAAAAAAGAAAAAAGAAATCCAGATCTCAAACTGAAAAGCAAAAACTACCATGCAGGTCAAAATGGTTTTTAATTTTAAAAAGAGACAAAATAATTTTCAGACGAGAGAAGCTGAAATACTGAACAGCAATTTCATAAACAATTCAGCTGTAGCCAAGTGCTAAGAGAGATAGGAAGGAAACAAAAAAAGCAATTGCAATAACATTGTGGAGCAAGGCTTGGGTTAATGATTGCACTGATGTGGAGTATAAATTGTAAAAAGTTTTTATTTAGATCAAAATATTTTATTTAGATTAAAAATATTTATTTAGATTAAAAGATTTTATTTAGATTATACTTCACAGGACCATTTCATACTTCCAGCTGACCAGTAAGGAAATGCTGATAGCTGAAGATCTCAGTAGGATATTATTTTCAGTTTAGGTTAAAAATTATAGACTCTTAGTATCAATAAACATCAATTAAATAAATATACTACTGCATATGTAATTTTGTACTACACAATATTCTGCCACTCTGATTAAAAGTCACAAGCATGAGCAAAACTACCAAAAAAACTTCAATATGCATTTTCTCCCAGAAAGGCATTACTGAGAACAAAACTGCAGCATAATTTGCACTGTATTTTGTCCCATCTGGTTCGGCAAGTAAGGGAGATTTGCAAAAAAGGGAGCAATACATAATTTGAGGAGTTTAATTTCATGAAGTTTTATACCTTCTTTGTCAACCTCAAGTCTCATGGGAGGAAAGTTTCAGAGTAATCCTCAAAGTTTTAGCCCAGCTTTGTTGACAAAAGAGAAAGTCATATCAAACAGGTGGAATATCACAGGAGAGAAAATTTCAAGGAAATGTTCAAGTTTTCAGTTGAGCTTTGAAAAAGGCTCCTTCTTCTCTTTTGTACTTTGAAACATAAGGTATTTATTTCGGGAACACATTAAAAATGAAGATCATGTCCTCTATAGAAGGGGCAGTGCAAAAGCCACCAGTCACCAACACTGTGATTTACAGACATTTGGGATTAAAAATATAATCCCCTGGAAAACAAAGAAACAGAGCCCCATGATCAGCTCCACGGGGTATCAGGCACTGCACTGACATCACACAGCTGTGTGCGAAATATCACTCTCCTCAGGAGAAAAACAGGGAATACAATGTTATTGGGATACCAAAAGGAGGTAACAGAAAAAAGAAGAAAAAATCAAAATACTGCCTTGGACTGATTTTTTGTGGTATGAATCTTTTAGGGACCTTGGCATATTTCCTTCCACGTGGCATTTAAGGGCAGCTCTCTGCATTAACACTTGCAGTTTTGAAGTCTGAATATTGGCATAAATAAGCAACTTCAGCAGAGCTGATGACACCAGCTGAGGACCTCCAAGTAGGGAAAAAAACACTTTTGTTCCTCAAATGTTTTCCCTGGGTTTTGAAATGTAAAAATTTCACTTGGCTTTATCCTGCACATTCAGTTTCCCTGACTGACAGGTGAAGTGGCATTCACAGTGACACACTTTTCAGACCTGACTGTACAAGTGCAAAGGCCAGATGAAAAAAGCAGAATTTGCCAGAAGTTAAGCTGCTCCATGATAACATTTTCAAATATTCATTTAGGGTGATTTTTACAATCAGGCAAACACTATGCTGATGGCAAAGTGGTGTATGTTTTCCCTCTCTAACACATGAAAAATGGTGAGCTCAGTTCACTTTTGCAGAAAACAGGAAAAAAACAGCATCCACAGGTATGAGACAAGTCCTGTGAGATGAAAGGCCAGGAGGGATATGCAGTGCTGACCCTGAAATGGCTTTTCTCCCCTTGAGAAACCTCTGTGCCCCCTTGTGACCTCACCTCTGTACCCACGAGTGGAGTGGTTCCAAAGGTACACACAAGGACAAGTGTGCTCCTCTGTCCTGGTGGAGTGGTGCCTTCCAACAGAGAGAGAATGGATCCAAGGGGGTGGAACAGGGCTGGAAGCAAAAAGCAAGGAAAGCATTACATGTCTGTGAGCTGCTGACTTCCCAAGCAGCTTTCAGGTCCATTTCAGAGAGATGATGATGGCAAGAAGAACAGCTCCATTCCTTCCCTCAGGAACCCACAGTAGCACATCCTGCTTGTCCTAATAGGAATTAAAACCTTATAACCTGCAGCAGACAGGGAGACAAGCCTGTCTACCAAAACACTGCCATTCCACTTGAAACTTTCCATCTTTGCCAGGTCTGACCCAAAGAGGGTAACAAAGGGTAGGTGAGCAGCAGCAGCAGGAATGGGTGTCATCTGGCTTGTGTTTCTCAGGCTTTAGCATGCTTCAGAAAACCCTATCCCAGTATTTCCTGGAGAAGACAGGAATTGTCCAGTCCACTGCACTGATGGCAGCATCATTAAAGCAATGCACAGAAACAAAACTCATAGCAATGTGCAACACCCAGTCCTGTCCTTAGAGAATGTTGTCTAATTGGATAGAGATCATCTTAGAAGCCAGGACGTTTTCATACAGCCAGGGTCCTTTAGAGGGTGCTTCAGAATCTGCTGTCAGGAGCAATGGCCACAGACATCAACACATGCCAGGCTAAATTAAGGGGCCAAATTGCTGAGCTTGCTCCAACAATGCCATGCTCTGGGGGACTCCAAGAGGAAAGCAGCTGGTCTGTAAGACCTGCTGGAAGATTTCCACAGGCCACTCATCTGCTGGGTTAGAATTTACTCTTTCTGGAAATACCTAAGCTGTAAGGACATGCCCTGGGAGTAATCCAGAGGCTGGCACAGGTTTTAATACACGTCATTTTCAATCAGATCCAGACAGGAGGTGACCGGTAGGGACACATGTCCCATTCTTCCCAATCTGCTGCGTGACAGTGGGAAAGACTCAGGTGGGAATGGTCTGTGGTGGAGGAACTCAGTGCACTGGATTTTGATAAATTGAAAAATATCACCATGTGACAATAAAACATTTGAAAATATCAGGGAGATGGAAAAGTGTTAGTACATATCAATTTTAATTAATATGTGACTTAACCAAAACTCAGCATGGTTCCCAGTGACACACCCTATTTGCATCACTCTCTTTCCCTGGAAAAGCTGCTTTCAAAATATATGAGGAACACCAACATTATTCACTACCAGGCCACTGCACATCACAGTTTCTGCCATCAGCCCTCATTTAATATTGCTTTCATGGGATCTGTGCTCAGGCTTTTCTCATCACTAAAGCTTCTCCTTGTACCCAGAAAAGTCTTATTTCAAATTCTTTCATTGCATGCCTTGTTTAATTGAAGATTTTCATTAAAAATTAGGTTGGAGCTAGTGTATAAACACATCATCAGTGACACTTCAAGCTACCAAAATGTAGGTCCAGCTTTCTCAGTAAAAAATTCTGAGACAAGACTTTTAAAATATTCCTCAAGAAGAGCAGAATCTTCTACACCTTAGGCAACATCAGAGATTTGCAGGGGCAAAATTGACTGTGATTTTTACAGCTTAATGAAGAAAAGAGAGCACCAGCTCAATCAGAAATGCAGGAAGTCAAAAGGTTGTATTTCGAGTAAAGCTAAATTTGGGAAAGCATTTTATATTTGTTACATGGTTGAGAAACAGAGACATCAGTTTTCCACTAGAAACAGAGATTCTTTTATCAGCAGGATTAAATATTTGGCATTTTAAGGACTTTCCCTAACACTTGTTGCCTTTTCCACTGCAAACACTTTTTCCCTGTTTATGAGTAACTCTTGGTCATTTCTCTCCATCTCTACTTCTCTTTTTCTTTAACATCTGCCCTCTTTCTTCCTTTTCCTCTCCTACATTTTTCCCTCAGTACTCTGGCTGGGCTTCTTTCCAGCTGCTACCACCAGCTATGAGAAATCACCCAGGAAGAGATCGCTCTACCAGACACAGCAGTGTGAAAGTATCATCTGCAGAATTCAAACTGTTCAAGATGCGCACTCTCTTCTCACATCCCCAGGTAAAATTCATTACAGTGGAATGCTTGGATGATTTGAAATATTTATATTGAAGTGATAATGCAAATTAAAGGAGAAAAATCTTGATAAAAGATCAGATTAAGGACTACTGAATGCATTCTCCGTTACACTCTGGTGATTGAACTTAAATTTAAAGCTTAAGATGCTGGTTTCACAGCTTCAGAGTTTAACTAACTGGTTTTCTAACTTTCAAATTTACTCAGACAGAGTAAACATCCTCTGTTTGTAATTGACAGGATGTTAGTCCCAGAAGTGTATTTCCATTTTCATTACAATTCTCTCATGTTGTCACTGCTGATATTTTATCAGTAAAGTTTAATTAAACAAAAGCACTCATGCACTGTGAGTCTGAAATTGCAGTGATGAGCTGGTGTATGAGGTGAAGTGTAATGGTGCTACCAAAACTGAGATCACTGATATTTAGAATCCAAATCTAGGAATTTAAAGGCTCCATTTCTGACAGTGAGTCTGGTCACTCCCACTTCATTTTGGAAGGAGCCAGCCTGGTCAGTCCCACTCTGTTTTGGAGGGGAACAAGCTCAGCACATGAGGGAGCTGTGCCTTTTGGCCCCGTGGATGGAGCAGAGCCACTGGCCTATTTTACTGAATTGTGGAGGCAGTCACAGTCTCTGGTGCCTGTGAGGTGGTGCTGGCAGAATGCTGACTGCACAGCTCAGCACCCTCTCATTAAGCATCCCATTGCTCAACCATGCACAGCCACCAAGATCCTTCTGGATGCTCTCAGTGTCCTAAGCACAATGCACATTCCTCACCGGCTACAGCAGGAGAATCCATGGAGTGAACATGGGTGCACTGCCCTATCCTGCTTCTTCTAATCAGTGTCCTAACTGATTTCTTAAATAAAAATTGTTTGTTTGGGGTTTTCTTCCTAAGTGGGAGATCACACACCTTTGACTTTTAACACAAAAATTCATTAGAAGCAGTGATGAGTGTGAAATATATCTCAGGCATCGGACAGCTGCTTGTGTCCTAGCACAGAAACCAAAATGCTTTTTCAAATATCACCAGAACTTCAAGCTGATCCACAGTTTGCCATACGTTTTATCTTGCTATTTAGATCTTTTATTTGTATCAACAGAACTGCTGACACTGTTCCCCTCCTTCCTGAAAGAAGGAACATGTTAAAGCTGCTACACTGAATAGCAGTGGCACTTTCTGTTTGCTCCCAAGGGATTTTGTGTTTGTAACCACAGTGTAACACATCCAGCAGCACACGAGGTTTGCAGTGCTGTTGTTAGTCCAGTTTCCAGAGCTTTTCCGGAGAGGGAGAGCCCTTACACGCTCTGGCATCTGATCCAGGGTAACCCTGTGCTGGCTTCCAGACTCACTGACTTGAAGGCAGCCTATTAAAACAAGCCCCGAGTTCTGGGCAAGCCATGCATGGCAAAGGCACATTCCAGGCCCTGGGTTTTTAACGGGAATTCAGCCTCATCTGCTCATCCCTAAATGTGCAGTGACTCCTCCGTCACTCAAACACACGCACTCAGCCTCCCTGAGATGGCAGTGACAATCACCTCCGCAGCCGCGCCAGAGCCCGGGAATTCTCATTCCCAGCATCCCTGACATCAGGCAAAACCACGCTCCTGTAAACTGCTGGCAAAGCGCCCGTGCTGTATCCCGGGCTGCTGATTGCTCCACACAGACACTCCCAGCCGGATCCTTCAGCTCACACACAAAGCTCTGTGCTAGGGAAACCGGTTTCCCTGTATTCCTTGAAATCTGCAAGCTCCCATCCACACTTCCCTGGAATTTCTGGAATGTGTTAGATGCTCCGTTCATAAATGATCACGATGTGTTCAGTGGTGGTAAAATGAGTGTACAGTGAGTATACACCACGCCAACTTTGTTAATTTTTAATTTTGAAACTTTCTGTTGAAGTATGAAGACTGAAGAAATAAACTGATTAGAAAAATCACTATCAACATATTTTTTAATTTATTGTTCTTCCCTGGATGGAATGGAAAACAAAAAATAAAGCAGAAAGTAAAGCAGCAGTGCTGAAATCAGTTTATGTTCTCAGAATTCATGGTTTGCCAATTCCAGGTGTAACTTCACAACCAGGCAGGAAAACTGGGTTTCAAAAAACATTGATTTTAGCATGAGGGTGTTTTTTAGAAGTTAATGACATGCAAATCATTATGCATGTATTTACATTTTTGATTAGGATAAGATTGAGAAGTTAGAAAATAGAGCAGTGATCCGCCTGTAGGTCTCAGCAAAGCCATTTCAGGTCTGACAGAGACATGAATAACTAACACAGACAAAATAAGCAAAGGTCACAAAAAGGAAAGGATCAAAAGCCTGAAGAGAAATAACTTCTCTCCACTATCCTCACCAAGGAGTTCACACTATCTAGGGTGCCTACTTTTTTAATTAATGGAAAACTAATTTGATGGGAAGACCTACGTCACGCTGGGGCTCTGAGGGGCTTCTCTTGAAACTCACAGTTCTCTTACACTGAGAACACTCCTCCAGCCCCCAGCAGAACAGGCCGACCTCAGGAGCCATGAAACTCAAGCCTGCCCATGAAACTGAAGACAGAAATTTGATCAAGCCAGCGGAGTCTCTTGCATAATTCACTTTCTTTGGAGCACTCCTGACTGGGCTGGGGAAGAAGCACCACAATTCCCAGCCTTCCTCTGACAGACATTTCCTAAAGCTGCAGGATCCCTCCCTCACATGTATTTTCATGGGCTCTTCTAGTTTACAGCAGGACACCTAGAAGAGGTGTGCAGGAGTAACACTTCTCTTGGCCCCTGTTCAAGCCTCCCTACCTGAATCCAGCTGCTACTTTTTGCAACTTTAATCCTTCTAGGCCAACCCACTGTGCCTAGAGAAGAAAGGCCAAAGCTACTCTGTAGTTTGGAGTTTCTGTACCTGCCTGCACAAAATTATTGCAAATACCTGATATATATAAGTATTTATACCTGATAGATGTAAGATCATATGGGCCACCAAATTTGGGACTGGGAACGAGTGGTGGCATCCAGCAACAAATCCAAACATTTACCAGCAGGTTCTCCAGCTCACTGAGTGTAGCTGCAACGTTTAAACAGCACACGAACTTGGGAAGGGTGGATTCATATTTCACCCTTTTCTTGCTGTCTTACCATCGAAACCTGTGCATCACAGAATTATAGAATGGTTGGGTTGAAAAGGACTTTAAAGATCATAGCTACAGGCCTTAGGAAGAAAGTGTAAGAGATTAAAAATATTATCAATTACCACCTCTACCCTAAAGAATTTCTTCAAATAACACACAA